AAGACTAGTACCCTCTTCTGGAGGCACCCTTCACCTACTTTTAATCATACATTCTAAGAATGAAACTAGTTGAGTGTTCAGAGAATAATAGCCTTGGGATCTGAGTAATAGGTGATGTGGTTTTACAATTTGGGTGTCACTAAATGATTTTTCAGGCATGTAGGATAAACTGAGGTGTAAAATATACCAGTAAAGTAGGTATAATTCACTGCTGCAAAGATGAACATTCTAACATCATAAGATTTAAGGCTAAAATTCACACTGTTCCTTCTCCCATCTTCCCAGTGGAAGCCACAGAGCTGGGCTTGAGAACACTGCACTTATTTTTGCTTTTTCTTTCCAGTTCTGATTGACCCAATTGTTTTGATGGCATTACCCCTTGAATACCATCAACGTACTTCCATGTTCTTACAGGGCAGAAATATGTGATGTTCATTCCTTTGCTTTGATTTCTCAAGTAGCCAGTTATTCAAATAGCAATTGATCGCTTTTGTTTGAAACAGGTGGAAAACTTTATTATTTCCACTTTATGGTCCAGTTTCGTTTCTTTTCATTCCAATCCTTTTCTGGCAGACAACTCAGTATATTTACCATCCACTAGCTTTAAAGACATCTGTTCATCTATATATAGGCTGCTCTCACAGAACCACTTAGAAACAGATGATATATTAAATTTGTGGAATTCAATAACAGTGAACATAGAAAGACTTGTACACAAATAGGTATTTTTGTTTAGTTTTTATTCACTTGGGGAGTGGAGAAGAAAACTAAATTTTGATGTATGTTAAATAGAGAGAGTTCATTGAATTCTTACTTTTTTGAATCTCCTTGGTCTAGCACTGTCTGTGAGAATATTAATTTGAACTAGTGTTAGGTAATTCTTGGTGAGGGTGGATGTGCATTAAATGTATGGCCTCTGAAATATACTCCTGATTAGGGTACCTTCAGCAAATACAGAGCATATGCCTTCAAATGTTATTTACTGAAAGTGAGTTACTAAATGATTTCTTCTAAAAAGAATAATCCTTAAGATCTGGAAACATAAAAGCATTTTATTTAGTGTTTAGAATTAAGAGAAAGTAAGATAGATTAAAGAAAAAGGATATTCATATAAATATTCATTTCTTTGTAGTTGAAATCTTAGAAGAAGGATCATTGCATATATACACAACACACACACAGAGGCAATCAGATAAATTATAAAATAAAGTATAGGTTGACTACCATAATACTGAGTTTATTGCTTAGGTCTTTTCACTCTCTGTATAAAGATTGTTAGAGTTAGTAGGAGAGGGTTATGCAATGTATAAAACAGAACATACGCCCTGACTGGTTTGGCTCAGTGCATAGAGCATCGGCCTGCAGACTGAAAGGTCCCAGGTTCGATTCCAGTCAAGGGCATGTACCTTGGTTGCGGGCACATCCCCAGTAGGAGGGTGTGCAGGAGGCAGCTGATGGATGTTTCTAACTCTCTATTCCTCTCCCTTCCTCTCTGTTAAAAATCAATAAAATATATTTTTAAAAAAACAAAAAACAGAACATACCTACAATCAAGTTGTGATACCCAAGATAATACTGATGCAGGGCAGCTTCTGTTATTTGAACGGGGAACTTGGTCAGATTTCAGATAAGCATGGAATTTGGAGTTAACCACTGAGAGACAAGATGGAATTTTCAAATAACTAAACTTTAATTTCATTTAGTTTTAGAGATGGAAAAGGTTTATTCAGTAAACTTTCCTCTTTGCATTAGAGTTCTTAAAATATAAAGCTTAATTAAAAAGATTTTTACTTTGCTCTCCATAAAAAACTTGAATCATAGACTCAAAGTTTTGCTTTCATGAAGCAAGAAGTTTTTTAATCCAGAAGCTTGCTTAAAATATTCTTGTGGCCTTATCTGTATATGTTTGGGGGTTTTTTAAGAAGGGTTACTGATTGATATTTCAAAATTATTCTTGGCCAACAGCCATAGTTCGCATTTCTTTGAGGTGTTCAGACTTACTGAATTACATTAGATTTTCATATTCTCTGAAATCAAATTAATTTCTTGTATTTTATACTTTTCTAATAGCTCCTCTTACAGTGGCCTTAGAAACACTATAGAAAATGACAAATATTTGCCCTTTTTCCCCTCTTTATCTTGCCTGGCACTTCTCTTTCTTCCATCAGGAGACATATGGGTTAGTTAGTATTAAGTGCCCACACTTTTAGAGTCACAGGGCCCCCCTTTTTTTTTAATAAGTTTAAAGCCTACCAGTTACTTAACAGGGCCGACTCAGCAACACTAACTCTATTATTATTTGTATTTTATTATAACTATTGTTACTGATCTATGATTATAATTTATTCTGAAATCAAGTTCCTAGATTCATTTAAATTTGTTTTATTAAAGTTGATCACCCAAACTCCTTTGACCCTGGCCTGAAGTATCTCTATTTTCCTCAGACCCTTTGTCTTTCTCGCCAGAGAATGAACCCAGGTGATCAATTCCATGCCTGTTATCTCAGCAGCTCAGGGGTTCCAGAAGACCCTGGAGAAGCAGAGAGTAAGGAGCCCAGGGTCTGGAATCAGAATGCTTGGGTTCAAATCCTGTTATACTTCTTACTAGTAGCCCTGCACACAAATCCGTACGCCAGTAGCTCGCTGCCACCTTCCAGTAGCTCTCCGCCCGCTCCCCCAGACCCCCCCCACCCCCATAGCTTGCTGCCCTGCCCTCTCCTGTAGCTCTCCACCGCCCACTTGTAGCTTGTTGCCCCACCCTCCTGCTGATCCATGATCTGGTTGTTACATTGTCAGTCGTTACACTTCATAGTGTAACGACCATTTGCATATTACATCTTTATTATATCAGATTAGTGTGATAACCTTAGGTTAATTACTTAATTTTTCTGGGCCACATTTTCCTTATCTGTAAAATAGGATTAATAATACCCTTCCTGCCATAGGGGGTTTTGAAGAGTAAACGAGTTAAAACATGAAAGTACATTGAACAGTGGCACAGAGCACATAGCCTGTAAGTATTTAGCTACTGGAGTGGCTGTTGCTGTTTGTACCTATTTTATTCTGCAAAGCTTTGCTTTTAACAGTGTTAATTTGTAAAATAAAATATATAATTATAGTTATAACCTCCTGATTAGATTTCTTAGACTGTATGTATCATCGTTTTGAGATTCAGTTCAATTCAAGAAACAATTATTAAATGCCTACGGTGTATCAAGTGCTATGGGGGAGGCATACATTAATAAGATATATTTCCTGCCCTCCCAAGAGTGTGTAAACTGGCAGGAGAGAAAATATATTCAGAGGGTAAGTATTACACAGGGAAAAATATTACTATACTTTTTATATCAGATAAAAAAAGTAGCTCACAGAAGGCCTAGGCTAACTCTGAATGCTGGGGAATGAGTTGGGAAGGTCAGGTGAAGAAGGTAGACATTTTCAGGTGAAGTGAATAAAGCATTGGAAAAGTGCATGGTACTTGAAGAAGAGTAAATTGGACAACCTTTATTCGGGTGACTTAGAATGGAAGACACACAGAACAAGGAAGGACACAAGCCAGTGAGCTAATTCTGCAACATGGGAAAGCATAGTGCAGTAAACTTTATAAAATAGGACAGTGGTGGGCAGGGAGGAGATGAAGTGGCTCAGAAATTTTAATATTAGTACCGGGAAGGATAGTGATACCAGTAAAGAGAAAAAGAATGGGAAGTAGATTAGGGCTTTGGGAGAAAGACAAGATCTACTTGGGGCTGCTAGATTTGAGATCTAGTCGGAAGCCTAGTTATGAATCTTGGAGGCCTTAAAAATGGCTCTATGGCCGAAACCGGTTGGCTCAGTGGATAGAGTGTTGGCCTGCGGACTGAAAGGTCCCGGTTCGATTCCGGTCAAGGGCATGTACCTGGGTTGCAGGCACATCCCCAGTGGGAGATGTGCAGGAGGCAGCTGATCAATGTTTCTAACTATCTCTCTCCCTTCCTGTCTGTAAAAAATCAATAAAATAAAATAAAAATAAATAAATAAAAAACCTTTCTTTAAAAAAAAAATGGCTCTATGGATGGAAAAGACAGATATTAGGGTAATATGGTTCCTAATAGAGACAAGTCCCTCTCAGATGTGACTTGCAGGGACCTTATAACTAAAGAATTATCATGTAAGGGCACTGTCCTTGGCCCATGGGACCTTTCTGTGAAATTTTTGAACATTTTCTCACCTAGCCTCTGAATACAGGCCATGGCATGCATCATCATTCTGCATGGTGTGCAGTGATAATACCCTTTAGGTTTCATTGGCATTTGAAATATAGATTACTGAGTTTTAAGTTAAAAAAAAATCTCAATAGGTTGTCCAATTAAGTGGTGTTGCCAGAGTGGAAATAGGAGAAACACCTGTCACCCTCCCGTAGCCTGCTGTGCTTTGAATCATCTAGTTGGTTGGTGTTTCACCTCAACAGAAAAGGCTCTTAGAGTGAATAGGAAGAAAAGAGTTATATTAATGGCAAAATATTTTCTGGTGAAAATAGGTATGATTTTTAGGTGCGATGAAAAGATATTACCAATACTTCCTGATCTGTGTGAATAACTGTATCATTCACTATATTTATGGTGGTAAACATTTGCTACCGGGAAGAAAGTGTAGAATATCTGGGAAGCTTTTTCTGCTGGGTAGTGGTCCTCATATTTTCTTTGAGTTAAGCATTTGTGTGTTTTTTCAACCTTGAGAGGACAGTGTTGTAGAAGGTTTTGAGCAAGAGCAAGAGTTTGGTATTTTGTGGATTGTTATCGCCCTGCAAGACCCTTTGCAACTTCCTCTCGCCGCCCACAGCAGAATACGGAAACCCTGCTGTATCAGGCCACTTCTGCAATTACAGTCACAATTCAAGAGGATCCTTCTTTTACACTACACCCTTCCGTTTTGAGACTTTCTTTGCATTTGAAAATGTGTCTTTTGTGGTGGAATTCCTTACTGAGCCTTCATCTCTTCTCTCTCTTTGCTGCCATGCAGTGCTGCAGTTGAAGCTCCAGCAGCGGCGGACACGGGAAGAGCTGGTGAGCCAAGGGATCATGCCTCGTAAGTACCACTCTCTCTCAGCATTTGATTGAGTTGCTTTTAGGATATAATTGTGTGTACCCAGTATGCCACAGAAGGCATCCAACAGGAAACAAGGGCAACAAGTTTCATCTTTCACTCTTCTTGCTTGTGTTTTTCCAAGTTCAGGACTCTTCATCTCTAAGAGCCAAGATAACTGCCCTAATTGATTGAGTTCATTGAACAAACAGCAGTAGGTTTGATGGTGTCAGCATTAGCTTTTGAATTGCACCTTTAAAAGGGTTACACTTACACGCCCTGTTACACTTCCCTTTATTGGAGGAGCGGATCTTGAGCTGTAGTACTATGAGGAAGAACCTACTTCGTGCATATGATTTGCCTTGTGTTCAGGTTTTTTTTTGGAAAGAGAAAACTCTTTTCTGCCTGGTGTTTTGAAACAACAACAGTTTTTTGTTTGTTTGTTTTCGAGTGAGATCTTCAGGTACCCTAGTCTGGCATGGGTGTGAATGTGCTTGAATGAGACTTAGATGGGTTGTTGCAGAGCTGGGTGCAGAACTGCATTACTCAGGGAGAAATGAAACCAACCTTGGAATCTGTTAGAAGAATAATAAAATTTGCTTCTAACAGTAATAATATTCATTACAAATTGGGTGGAAGCTGGAATCAGCAAGATTTTGCTCTTTTTTTTTTTTTAGATTTTGCTCTTTTTGACATTTCTTTTTTAAGTCATCAACAGTGGGCGTAGACTCTCCTTCTTTCGCTTTTCTTTGTATATTATTGCTACTTGAATATATCCTAATAAAGTTAAAAAAAAATGTCGGACAACAATTCCTAGCTTCACAGTAGGAAAACTGATGTTTTTCACATTAACTCAATGCCTGCTCACCTACTGCCACTGTATTTTCCTAATTCTCATTCATTAATTCACTCAAAATATTTGAGTACCTAGTGTATGCCTGCTGATACAGCAAGATAAATCTAGCTCCCGGTCTCAGGAGTTTTTTATTTAGAAGAATACTGCTAATTAACAAGGAGACAAATAAATAAACAAGATAATTTCAGAGTATGGGAAGTGCTATTAAGTAAATTAACTGGTTGGTATGTTAATAAGTAAAAGGAATGAGATGGGGTCGTTTTGGATAAAATGGTCAAGAAAGACCTCTCTGAATAGGAAATATTTGAGCTGAGATCTGAAGGATGAGATGGAGTTAGCCATTCAAGAGTAGGAAGAGGGCCCCGGGAGAAGGAAACGTAAGTGTAAGGGCCTAGTACAGGAAAGGGCCTGGCATATTGAAAACCTCAAGGAAGCTATTGTGGCTGGGTCTGGTAAGTAAGAGGAGAGCAGGGCCAGTTAAGATTGGTAGGGTGAACAAGACCTGAATGAGAGCCTTACCAACCACACAGAGGAGGTGGATTTTATTTTAAGTACAATGGGAAGCCATTGAAGGCTTTTAAGCAAGTGAGGGTGGGATTTTATTTATGTTATTGTAATGGCAGGTCCATTTCTGAAAGCTAAAATTGTGTGACAAGTATAAGGAATCTGAGCTGTATTTCTATCCTAAGCATGAGCCAGGGGACTTAAGTGTCAAATTCATCTTTTTGTTTATTACAATGAACTACCAAGCCATTTTCCCACATTATAATGTCTTCTTTTCTGGCCCTCCAGTGAAGGATTCCTACCCCAACCCTTGAAGTGCCAGATAGAGCAGATGGCTTATGCAGTGGATCAGTAATGTGATGAGGTAGGGCAGTGTTGTACTTTACAGAACATTCCAGATCTGCCAATCTACAAACCTTTGTAGAGGAACAAGTTACCAAGAGTCTCATGTACTTGTTCCATTCACCAAGAACATCAGGTGTTTAGCAGCTATTTTGTGCCCAGGGTAGTCCTAGATGCTATAGAGCAGCAGTCGCCAACCAGTGGTCCGCAGACCACTGGTGGTCCGTGAGGTCTGAGAGGTTGGCAACCGCACTATAGAGATTAAAGAATATGTCATGGTACTGTAATTACAGTACTAGTTCTGAGAGCATACTGCTACTTCTCAGAATCTATAATATGTTCACAATCTAAAACCCATACAGAGGTGCCCTGCAGTCTTCTTCCTGTCTTTCATTTGATACCAGGGGCTACTGGAGATCATTGTTTAATAGGATTTATTGAATGCAATCTCTTTGCGTAGGACTAATCATGCTTCAATTATTGCAGTTATCTGCTTATGTGTTTGTCTCTCCAACTAGACTGTGAGCTCCTTGAGAAAGTATCTTATTTATATTTCTGTACCCAATGCCTGGCACCAAATGAATGAATGGGTGAAGACACACAGTTGTAAAGTATGGTGTGTTGTGTTTGTGTGTGTGTGTGTGTGTGTGAGAGAGAGAGAGAGAGAGAGAGAGAGAGAGAGAGAGAGAGAGAGAGAGAACAGATACCACTCTGTTGCAGACTTGTTGGATTTCTGGACATGGAGACATGGAATTTGAAATAACACTCCTATTCTGTCAGGAGGCTAGGTTTGAAAATGTTGTGAATATCTAATTGTATACTTTGGGTTATTCTCTGTATCTGTGAAGTGAGAATAGTTGTCCTTCCTATAGGAATAGAAATGACCTGCTTCTGTGAGAATACTGCATCTTCCCTCATAGCAAGAGCTACCGTCAGCTATGGGCACAGTCTTGGTTTTCAGCTTTTCTAGTGAAGGAAATAGGTAGCCAACACTTAGATTGAGAGAGAATGTTGAGGCCTGGGAATAGCTTCCAGTATGAAATACCCTACATACCTGGTGATACAAGATGGGTCCTGAGTTCCCAAAGAGGAGGCTCACTTTTTGCTAGCCTCCCTCCCCCAGTGTGAGTAACCCTGCTTCCTCACCACAACCTTGCACCCGCTACCTTAATTCCTATTGTAATCTCCAACATCCTCCACCTCCCAGACACCATCATGTGCCATCTTCCACCAATGTCTCTAGTCTTTCAAAGAAAATATGAACAGTTCTGGGGGCAAACTGTAAATGACCAGAAAGTTGTTGTTGATTATTGGAGATTTGGAACCCTGAAAAAAGTAACATTTGGTTTTAAGTACCCATGTCCATTCCTATCTTGCTGGCCTGAGGAGTTTCTGGAAAGTGCCTTTATATTTACTTGGTTTTACAAATTAGGAAGCTGGGGGAAGGAGCAGTGTAGTCATGGCTATATTCTGCCTAATCACTTATGTGTTCATATCTTTTATCAAATTCTTTCATCCCAATTTTTTTTCTAGTTCTGGGAAGAAAAACCCACCCACCTCATCTCCCAGAATACTTGTGCACAGTTCCCATGTAGGACTGGCTCTCAATTCCGTCATGTCTGTAGGATACAATGTCTCCAGTGGCTCTCTTGCCTTCAGGATTGGCCATGCTTCTGCATATCATTCAAAGTTGGGATATGGCCTTTCCATAATGTTTAGGGGATTAAAGAATCTCTCAATTCCGACACACTTCTCTCTGCTGCTTGATAAGCTCTGTTCATGGCATCCAAACTATGGGATAGAGAAGTTGATTTCTGATGTATTTTCAAACAGGATCATTTCCCAGAATCCTTCATTCTCATCATGTAAACATATGTTTCATTTAACACCACTTAAACCCTACCAAATACAGAGTGCCAGATAGCAAAGGATTACATATTCCAGGCCCTAAGCTTTCTTTAATGATGTCTGAAGCTCTGCATATCTTGAGGGAGAGGAGAAATGGCACAGACAGGAAGCTGGTGTTTAAATCCAAAGATTAAAATCAGGAATGCTTCTGTATTCAGAGTGAAGACTCAGAAGAGATGGGTCTTGTGTGGTACACTCTGTTCTCAAACAAAGCATCCCCCACAGCCTTTCTCTTTGACATTTAAAGGTGCACAAGATCATAAGGTTAAGGTGAAAATTAAGAAAAATGTCCTGGCAATGAAAGCTGCTGCAAAGGAATAACCTTTTAAAGGAAAACATGGAAGTTCTGACCCAGCAACTGAGAAAAAAGTCTCCTGTAATCCTTCTGGATATGAGAGAAGACACTTGTTTGTCTCTTCCTCCTCTACCTTTTGTTATTCTGTTGTGAATCTTTGAGAAGAGCACGAAGTAACATGTTCCTGATGCTATAGTTAACCCTCAGTTTATTATTTTATGAAGTGCATGTAGAAAAATCTTGGTACCTTGTCAAGCACACGAAGAAATTATTATTTTTGTCTTACAGATTCTCTAAGGAACTTGCTTTATTTCTTGAGTGAGCTTGTTTTTGTTTTTATTTTTTATTTTACATGGTGTTTCTGTGCACCCAGCCAGTGTCATGAGTAACATTTACCTCTGAATGGTTGGGAGAATCCAAAGAGTCTGAGGGCAACACAACTCAGAAGGGACAGCCAGTTATTGTCAATCCACAGGCCTCACAAACTACCTTGCCCTGAAAGGTGCTCAAACAAGTTGCTAAGTGAAAAGTGAACAAATTGGCCAGCTTGTTGTGACTGGCTCATAGGTCTATAAGTCAGCCCAATGCACCTCACATTGAAGCTGGAAAGAGTGGTTTCATGTCATGAGTTCTTGCAGCTCTTTTTTAATAAACTTTTGCCACATCTTCACTCCCTAACCCTTCAGTTCTACAGTTTGATCTCTTTGTCACACTTCAGCTATCATTGTGAGCTAAGTGGTCTACACAGAGACAGTGTGGCCCAGTTGCACTTATAGCCAATTTAAGCTGTGATTTTACTGGACCTCAGGGTTAGCTGAACGTCTCCTGTTCATCTAACTATGGTATTCTCTACACCAAGAAAAAGTTTATTCTAATCCCTGAAAGAGGTTATTTAATGGCTGGAAGTATCAAGTTTGATTACTATGATTGATCCCTTTTTCTCTGAATCTAAAATTCTTCTTAATAATGTTTTTATTATTTGTAACTTGGGGGAATTATTACTTATTCTTCACCAAATATACAAACTAAGTTTCAAGATTTTCCTTCCTGAGTACATATGGATCAAATGCATTTTGGTAAATATCTTTTAAAACTAAT